AAAAAAAAAAAACAACAAACAAAAAAAACAAATCTACATATAGACTGTTTATAATATTTTCAGATCTGTTTGCTACTTTATCAGGGGACAGGTGTTTTAATCATCATGTTATGATACAAGGCCAAAATGAAGATACATTTTGAGGAAAAAACATTTTTTAGGCAATAAATCTTGATTATAGCCCATAGAAATGGCTTATCTGGCAAAGTCTGAGAACAACTTTGAGAGTAAATTGTGAATTCAAGGAAAAAAAATAAAATAATCACTATTCTAGTAAATATGAAAATAGCTTGTCTCTCGGCTGTCAGGAGACCACACAAAGTTAGCAAATATCATGCCCTTGACTATAGGAGTAGTAAAACAGGGGCCACATTTCATCAGCATGGGCTTTAAAAATCTGTGTAACGGTAAAGCGGTTAAGATCATTTTCAGCACAATTTGATTAAAGTCAGTTTATCTGACAAGACCAAGCAGGGACTGAGTCTGTTTTTTCTACAGCTACATGCCTTCCAGAATCATATTATACCTTCCTACCTAACATTAACAATTTCACATAAATTAATGAGATTCAATAGAAATCTGTTGAAATGAAACTATCATTGATATGCATAATATGAAGATATTTAAAAATATGCATCTTCAGAATAAAAACTAAATAAAAACTCGGCTTATTGTTTGAGTGTGATGGCTCATGCCTGTAATCCCAGCACTTTTGGAGGCCAAGGGGAGGTTTATTTAAAGCCAGGGCTTCAAGACCAGCCTGGGGAATATAGCAAGATCCTGTCTCTACAAAAAATTTTTTAAAAATTAGCTGGGCATGATGTCATGTGCCTGTAATCCCAGCTACGTGGGAGGCTAAGTTGGGAGGATCACTTGAGCCTGGGACGTCAAGGCTGCAGTGAGTCCTGATCATGCCACTGTTACACTTTAGCCTGGGCGATATAGTGAGACCCTGTCTCAAAAACAAAACAAAGAAACAAACAAACAAAACCCTGCTTTCTGACCCAGCTATATCGGTTTGGGTAGAATGTTCAACTTCTTCAACCCATTTTTCCCCTGGGCAAAAGCACATTACCTACTTGACATAGTTACTGGCAGTTACAAAGTGATAGAGGTTTTCTTTCTTGTGATCCCAAAGTCAGGCAACAAATACTATATGAGGGTAAGGTAATATTTATATGATTTTTAATCTCTGAAATTTAAAGCTTTTTGAAAGGTATCACAGAGGTCATCTAAATTCAACGTCTCCTTTAAATTAAGGTTAAATGATGTCCAAAGTCACAAAGATGGTGAATGGCAAGCTGGGACTTCCTGTCCACTATTCAATACTCTGCCATTTTAGTACTTTTGGTTTTATAAAATATTATCTTGGCTTCAAGTTAGTAGGTGTGTCAGTATAATCTTGGGCAACTTATTTTATGTCTCAGTTTGTCTGGGAAACACAGAGACTAAGACATAATTCACAAGATTGTTGACTAAATAAAATAATACATATAGTTGGCCCTTAACATGAAAGTTAGGAGCCTTGACCCCTCGTGCAGTCAAAAATCTATGCATAACTTTTGACTCCCCAAACTTAACTTTTAATAGCCTACTGTTGATCTGAAGTCTCACCAACAATGTAAACAGTTGATTAACATATTTTGTACACTGTATTATACATTGTATTCCTAATATAAAGGAACCTAGAGAAAAACTATTACTAAGCAAATCGTAAGGAAAATACATTTACAGTACTGAATTTATTGATAAGGTAGGGTTTTTTTTTTTGAGACTGAGTCTCATTGTTGCCCAGGCTGGAGTGCAGTGGTGCCATCTTGGCTCAGTGCAACCTCCACCTCCCAGGTTCAAGCGATTCTCCTGCCTCAGCCTCCTGAGTAGCTGTAACTACCGCTAATTTCTGTAATTTTAGTAGAGATGACATTTCATCATATTGGCAGGGCTGGTCTCGAACTCCTGACCTCAGGTGATCCACCTGCCTCCGCCTCCCAAAGTGTTGGGATTACAGGTGTGAGCCACTGCACCCAGCGATAAGGCAGGTTTACACCATCTATTTACAAGATGAATTGTTTGAAATGGCCCTTAATCTACAGTACCTATCAGGCAATTCAACTTTTCCTTGTAATGTCATGACTTCCAGCATCTCACTAGTGGCACTTCATATGGGTCCCATGATGTTAGTCAAGGTTTATGATACTGCACTAAACACAATGAAAAGTACGTGCACCTTGAGAGATCACTTTTTATTGCTACACGCAATTTATAGGAGAGATGAACTGCTTATGTGGAGATGATTGCATCACACTGCATTTTAAGCAGATACTTGCAACACTGGAGCTCACCAATAGCAGGAGGTGGCTATGAGGTAATTATAGTTTGTACTCTAGTTATGTTTATGTAGTTATGATTTAATGCTGCATCTTTACATCTGTTTACATTTCTCTTGGTTTTGAATGGTGCCACGTACAGTCTAAGTTTTGATTACATTTGATTAAATTTTATGTTATGATTGGGTTTTTTTTTTTTTTTTTTGAGATAGAGTTTCGATCTTGTTGCCCAGGATGGAGTGCAATGGCGCAATCTCGGCTTACCGCAACCTCTGCCTCCTGGGTTCAAGCCTCTCAAGTAGCTGGGATTACAGGCATGCACCACCATGCCCAGCTAATTTTGTATTTTTAGTAGAGATGGGGTTTCTCCATGTTGGTCAGGCTGGTCTCAAACTCCCAACCTCAGGTGATCCGCCTGCCTCGGCCTCCCAAAGTGTTGGGATTACAGGTTCGAGCCACCAAGACTGTCGTATAATTTTTTTTTAAGAGCCTGGGTCTTATTCTATTGCCCAAGCTGGAGCGCAGTGGTGCAATCATAGCTCACCGTAGCCTGGAATTTTTGGGCTCAGGTCATCCTCCCATCAAAGCCTCCCGAGTAGCTGGGATTATAGGCACACAGCACCATGCCTGGCTAATTTTCAAATTTTTTCTTTTTTATAAGACAGAGTCTCCATCTGTCACCCAAGCTGGAGTGCAATGGCGTGATCTTGGCTCACTGCACCCTCTGCCTTCAGGGTTCAAACGAGTCTCCAGCTTCAGCCTCTTGTAGCTGGGACTACAGGTGCATGCCACCATGCCCAGATAATTTTTGTATTTTTAGTAGAGACGAGGTTTCACCATGTTGGCCAGTCTAGGCTGGTGTGGAACTCCTGACTTCAGGTTATCCGCCCATCTCGGCCTCCCAAAGTGCTGGGATTACAGGCGTAAGGCACTGTGCCTGGTCAATCTTTAAAATTTTTTCTAGAGACCAAGTTGGTCTCAAACTCCTGGCCTCAAGTGATCCTCCTGCCTCCTAAGTTGCTAGAATTATGGGCATGAATCACCATGCCTAGGCAAATTTTAACTTTTTATAACAGATTTGTGCACATTTTTTTATTGAAACAGAGTTTGGCTCTTGTAGCGCAGGTTGGAGTGCGATGGCGAGATCTTGGCTCACTGCAACCTGCGCCTCCCAGGTTCAAACGGTTCTCCTGCCTCAGCCTCCCAAGTAGCTGGGATTACAGGCATGTGCCACCACGCCCGGCTAGTTTTGTATTTTTAGTAGAGATGGGGATTCTTCATGTTGGTCAGGCTGGTCTCTAACTCCCGACCTCAGGTCATCTGCCCGCCTCAGCCTCCCAAAGTGTTGGGATTACAGGCGTGAACCACCCCGGCTGACCAAGATTTGTGCATATTTTATGGTAGTATATGATAAAACAGACTAGTATCTACGTATGCTTTATGCATTTATGACATTCCTAACTTTCAAATTATTTTAATATATCTAGGCGACAGGGGGTTTATCTGCAAGTGTTTTTTTTTTTTCAAATTGTCACTAATCTCCAGAACATTTTCCAATACATTTACTAAAAAAAATCTGGGTGTAAGTGGACTCACGCAGTTCAAACCCGTATTGTCCAAGGGTCAACTGTATGAAGCATTTACATCAGCATGCAATACAAAGCGTATGCCTAATATATGCTAATATTTTAAATCATTTCATATTCAATTATTAATTATATATTAAATCTCAATAAGATAGGTTGTGGCAAAATGAAACATTTACTGAATAAGCTGACATCAAATAGTTCTCTTCCATTGATGGCTAATTACCTTTCATTCCTGTTAAAGCAAACTGAATGGTATTTCCTCCAACCCCACAGAATGCATCTACTACCACGTCATACTTGAAGGACTGACTGACACGGCCAGCAATGTGTTCTGCAATCTTCTCGGGTGTAACTGAAAACCAGCCCTCTGCAATGAAAGAATATTTGTGTTAACATATTCAATTTCAAAAAGCCAAGGCAAGCATAAAGGTAGCAAACATTACTGTATCT